GTTTCCTCTAAGTCAATCCAGAGGTTTTTTTTAAATCATGATAAAATTCACACCAAATTGAATGTCACATTTAGTATATGCACAGTATTGTGTAGCCGTCACCTCTGTCTAGTTCCAGAATATTTACCTCATTCCAAAAGGAAACTCGGTAACCTTCAAGCACCCCCTCCATGCCCCCTCCAGCCTTTAACAACAACTCATCTGTTTTTTTATCTCTATATGTTGCCTGTTGGGGCTGGGGATTTAGCTCAGTGGTTCCGCCACCTGCCTCATAAGCACAAGGACCCAAGTTCGATCCCCAGTACCAATAAAATAAAATATATGTTGCCTGTTTGGAACATTTCATATAAATGGAATCATAGAATATTTGGGCTTTTGTACTTGGTTTCTTTTCCTAAGCATATTTTCAAGGTTCATTATATTGTACCATGTGTCAATACTTTAATCCTTTTTGTTACTGAATAATATTCCATTGAATAATTCCAGTGAATGGATATACCACATTTTGTTGATCCATTCACCCACTGGTAGACATTTGGGTTGTTTCTGTCTTTTCTAAATAGTTCACATTCCAGCTTTTGTGTGGACACCTGTTTCATTTCTTTTGGGCACATATCGAGGAGTAGTACTGCTGGGTCATATGGTAAGTCTGGGTTTGACTTAGTGAGGAACCACCGAAGTGCATGTGTGTTTTCTTCTTTTGTAGCCTGTCAATGACAGTATGTCAGTGACCAGCCAGGTGCCTTTACCAAAGTCTACAGAACAGAAGGCTGGTTCTTCTTTCTGCCCTCATTGTTCTGTTACACACTAAACCCCCTCTTCTGCTGAGCCCACAGCAGCCCCATGCGGACAGGCCGGGCATCAGGCCAGGGCCATGCAGGGCCGTGCCAAGGAAGAGCGGGAACCTGGGGATGTGCTGTCTTTAAGGGTGATACAGAATATTTCTTTTCCAAGGAGCAGGCCTCCCTCCTGGGACCTGCCCCTTTCACAGGCCATCTGGCCGCTCTACCTTTGGAATGGAGCTTTATGAACTGGGCACATTACATTTCAGTCCTTGAGGGTGTGGACCAGCCATGCCCACTGCCATCCTCATGTTGAGGCTGCGGTGAGTGTGTAAGGTGGATGAAATGTGCAGGTGGAGTGAACGGGCTGGGAGAGTGGCTTGCAGACCAGGTGAACTGAGGCCTGCGGCATCTCTCTGACCCAGCAAGCCCACAACCTGGGGCTTGGCTCAATGTTCCCCCACACCTGGGAGCATCCCCAGTCCTCGGGATACTGCATTTGAACCCCCACAAGACCCCTTCCCATCCTGGAGGAACTTGGATTCTGAGTCAGGAAAGCGGTGCATATGGCACTGATGCCCTATAAACTTGTCAGCTTTGAACATAGGGTCAAACCTACCCTCCGAGCCCCAGAAAGTCAGACACTTGGGAAGTGACGGTGCCAAACAGAAACATTCACAGGGTTTGATGAACTGTGTGCAAATGTGTAAAGAACATAAACCGAGTCTGCAGAATCGCTCTTCTGAACCACCTCTTTCAGAGAGTCTTAGCACTTGACTGAGAAAGGAGTGTGGTTTTATCTGTGAAGCAAAATAATAGTGTCCATTTCACAGACACAGTGCTTTGCATCTTCCTAAGCACCCACACACACTGCTCCCAGACTGCAGTTCCCGGGAGGCCAGGCAGCTGGCCAAGACTTGGGAGAAGACCCCCAAGTTTGGGATGGACTCGTTTCTGCATTTCTGGCACCTAGCATGGTGCCTGACATGGATTAAGTACTGGGCAAGGACTGCAGAGCAGCAGCTGGACTGATGGATGGGTAAAATTACTCCTTTCATTTATCTTCACTGTTAGGTGGGCAAAGGATAGATTTCTTACATATACTTGGCAGTTGTAAAAGACAGAGGCTTGAGAAATTTCAACAAGGTCGTGAAGCCAGTAAGCTGGCAAGACCAGGATAAGAATCCAGGCCCCCCAGCCCTATGGCCCTTGGTCTCGTATTAAGATCTCAAACAAATCAGGAGAGATCACAGGTGACTTAGAAAATTGCACCTAGAAATTCTGGGGATGGAGAGGGGGTATGGGGATCCCACTAAAGATGGCCTTTTCCTCCCTGCTGAGTCTCTAACTCTCACTCAGCTGAGGGATGGTGTTGGGAAGTGGGAGTTCAGAGTTTGGTCTGTGATTCAAGAGAGGGGCAGGCTGGGCGGCATGGCGGGGCGAGGCAATGCGGGCACAGCCCTGCAATGAGTGATGCACACAGCCCCTCTCGGTACCACCTCCCTGGCTCTTGCACAGCAGGGCTCCTCCGCCAGGAAAGACAGCTTCTGGGAATCACTGCAGCAAGCCCCACGCCTGTGCCTGTGGCGTGGAAGGAGAGGACAACTAGCTACGTCCTGGGACAGCACATCCCACGGGAGGGACGGGGCATCGGGGCTGGCACAGGAGGGTGGGACAGGAGAGAGAAGGGGCCAGAGCTGTGTGCATCTGCAGCCAGAAGACTTGCCCTGCCCCTTGCCCTCCCTGGAGAGCCTGCGCTCAGCAGGGGTGGTCTCTGGAGGCACAGGAGCCAGCCCCACCCTGCCCTGCAGCCCTGACTTGGGAGCATCTGCGTGGACTTCCTGAGCCTGTGCTGCTCTCCCCTCTGCTGGAAGCACAGTGCCTGCGTCCTGCTTTCTTCCCTGCTGGGATCTTTTCTTCTCTCTCCCTTCCCCCCAGCAGCTCTGAGCCAGTGCCCAGGACGACGGGCAGCAGGAGCAGGGCTGTCTGCAGCCTATCTCACCCTGAGCCCACAGGTGGCTTTCAAGGTGAAGTCCCATTGTCTCCCTGGGTACCGTTCATGCCTTCTCACCAGCTGCATCCCTGCTTCAAGACTGAGAGCAGAAGGGGCTACACAGCCCCAAAGTGGAGGGGACACAGGCAGGGGCCACACTGCTGACACTGAGGGCCACAGGGTCCTGCTGGGCCGGGCTCTGCCGCCAGGAGGGCCTGCTGCTGAGAGGAGCCAGAACACTGGGTGGTGCTGATTCCTCCCCCCCCCCCCGCCGCCCCACCCCGTCCTCTCTCTCGTTAGTTTTCTCCAGCTGATCTGGAATGTGGCCTGTTTAGAGCCCATTCCCTGAGACTTTGAGTCACTAGGAGACCCTAGACCCACTGTGTGCATGTTCCTGTGCCAGGCCTCACCCTGGCTCCTAGCAGTGAGCTAAGGGAAGGGCACTAGCCCACCACCTGGAGGAGAGAACAAGGCGAGGCCTCTGCCAGCTCAGGAGGGAGGACACTCTGGGTTGACAAAGGGGGAATCGGGAGCCAGCCTAGTCCTGGAGGCAGCTACAGGTAGCCCACAGAACTGGGGCTTTGCCTGCTCTGGGCCAGCATGAGGGCCACCGTGGACCAAGGGTGACTGAGGCAGCCAAGGGCTGTGCATCTACCTGCAAAGCAGCCCTGAAACCCACAGGATAGAAGAGGCCTGACTCATTGCCTCTGATGGGCTCTGCTATTTTTACATGCAAGTCTGGTTAAAAATAACTAAGCCAAGCTTTTAGCTGTAGCTGACAAGATATTAAGTATCAGATACCTAATGCTCACAAGTGATAACCACCATCCTCTTCCTCTTCCTGTGTCCATTTTCTGCCTCTACATCATGGGCACTGAGACGGCAGGTAGGAAGTAGCTGGGAGAGCCCCTGAGAGCACCTAAAATTGCTCACCAAGACTCTGGGGCCTTCTGCAGGACGCACCCACAGGGAGCTCCAGGGAAGCTGTGTTCTCGGCACTGGCCCCACGGGAGCCTGGTTGGCTGCCTCAGCACCCAAGCCGCTGAGCTGCTCCAGCCAGCCGTGCAGAGGAAGCGCCTCGTGTCCACAGGGGCCAAGGGGACCCCTGTCCTTCAGGGCAGATGTTGAGCGCATGGTGGCCCCAGCTCCAGTCTTCTCGCTGCAGTGTGGACACAGCAGCCTGGTGCTCACTGTTGAGCACAAGGAGAAACCTTAGTCCTGAGTCCAGCCTGTCTGCACCCTGCACACCACCCTGAGCAGCGAAAGGATTCCCAGAGCTCTGGGCACGCAGGGCAGAAAGCTGCTCTGACCCAGGAGCAGGCCCCTCCCTTTTCCCCGCCCCTCCCAGCTCAGAGCCAAGGGGCAACGTGGAACTGTCCTGGCTCGTGTATGTACTATTAGGTGCCAGCCTATTCTGACATCTTTCTCAGCTTTTGAAATAACCAGCTGTCATACACCTGTAATCCCAGCACTCAAGAGGCTGAGGCAGGAGGATCAGTGTGAGTTCAAGCCCAGCCTGGGATACATAGCAATACCCCATCTCCATAAAACCAAAAAATAAATAAAAATAATAAAACCATCTGGTCCTTAAGTGTAATCTAGCGGTATGAAGAGCTGGAAGAAAGGGCTGTATTTGTACAGCAGGGAGTGCAGTGCCATGGGGCTGCCTACACTCCTGACCTCTCATGCAGCAAGGAAGCCCTGGCTGAGGCCTCCCCAACCCCAGGAGGCACAGGACTCCCAGGCCGGGAGAACCTGAGTTCCTTCCATACCGGTCTTGCAGAGACAGATGCAGGACCACCACCAACCTGACCCCCCGTAGGCCCCTGACGATGGTGATCATCAGCAAAGCCATGACACCATCCAGCCCCGGGGTGGAACCAGTTTTCAACCCAGACTCACTTCTAGCAGCTGGACTCCAGGACACAGGGCCAGCAGCCGGGACTCCTAGCAGACACCCTGTCCTCCCAGGGGGTGTCTCCCTGTCACAATCAGGATAGCTGAGAGTCATAGGTCAGAAGCCTACCCTGGGGATGCCTAAGGCCCAAGTGACTCAGTCTCCAGCCTGAGCCACGGATATGGTGCTGAGGCTCCAGCACATCTGCTGCCCAGCTCCAGCTGAGGTCTGGCAAACAGCAGAGCCCTGGACTTCCAGGATTGGACCCTGTTCTAAATCTGCCTGCTGCCTGCCTGCCTGATCTCTCTTATTGGTTCGGTTCTTGCAGTGAGAAGCGTCACCTTCAAGTGAATGTCACCAACCCAGTGCAGTGCAGCCTTCATGGGAAGAAGTGCACCGTCTCTGTGGAGACACGGCTCAACCAGCCCCAGCCCAACTTCACCAAGAACCGCTCGGGCTTCATTCTCAGTGTGCCAGGCAACTGACCCCTCCTTGTGAGATGGGCCAGGACAGGAGGCTGGGCCGGGACGAGGCTGGTGGGGGGCTCAGCCTCCCTCAGCATCCTAGGTTCTGGCCTAATTGCTACATCCCTGCTAATGCTGCTCAAAATCAGCTTGCAAGCTCCCCGCCAGGAGGGGCCCCTCTGCTGCTTCCCCAAGGCCCCTCCCCTCGAGGTGGTCTTCCTGGCTTTCTGCCTCCGCCTCCATCTCCTGCTGTCTCAGCTTTCTGCAGTCCCTCTTCAGTAAACCAAAGACCCTGGAGCCCTGCTCCAGACCCCCAGGCCAGCATCCAGCCCACATCTCAACTCGAAGGCAACTGGATGCACCTTTATTCTGCACAAGCATCCCCTGGGCGGCAGGTCAAGTCAGCAGGCCTTGACACAATGACCAGCTGCTGACCCCAAGAAGGGAACAGGGAGGGGAGCCCAGGATGCAGTCTCTCCAGCCAAAGCCCTGCTCCCCCGGCAGCTGGGGGGACCTGGTTGCTGTGACTTGGGGGCCAGGCCCTGTGCCCTTGTCCTCCAAGGTGATCACCCTCAGGGGCTCCTGCACAGACCCGAAGATCCCCAGCAGCCAGCCAAAGCCACCAGGTGAGCGGGTCCGCTTGTAGCGCAGCCCCTCAGCCATGCCCCGCTGGGGTCCGTCTCTCCCAGAGCCTGCCCCTGGGAGACTCCCCTCACCACCAGGGCCCCAGGCCTCCTGACCACCTCTCCCAAGAGGCAGTGTGAGGATGCTCCAGGACCATCTCAGCCCACAGCCTCCATTGGCAGTTGCCTCACACGCCTTTCTGCAGTGTGCAGGTTGTATCTGTCTACTGCTTAGTAAGAAAACACAGGAGCGCGCTTGGGATTTCCAGCTTTCCTTCTCCAATGCCTCAGAGGTTTTCCTAGTCACTGGGAGAGGTAGGACCTCGGTGGGGCTTAAAGCACACAGGAACCACAGGAGGCGGAGCAGCAGAAAGCAGTGTGGGGTCCTGGCACTGCAGGCCAGGCCAGGGTGTCCTCCCATGCCATGCACAAACCCCTGCTGGAGCCTGGCATCCATGGACTCCTCCCAGGAGAGCTGCTGTCTTGCCAGTTCTGCCCAGCAAAAAGTGCCTGTGCTTCAGCCTTCCCAAGCCCTCCTCCCTGGTCGCAGCCACTGAGGAGGAGGCTGTGGCCTGTGAGCAGCTAGGCCTTCCAGCGCAGAGCCTTGGAAAGAGACTCTTGGAGCAGGCACTCCATGTTGTAAGGAGTGAGGGGAGCCCACACCTCAAGAGGAGCTGGCAGGGGTATAAAAGGGACAGCCTGAAGTTTTCTTCTCTTTCTGCCACAAACACTGCCCCTTGCCATGATCCTTCCACCCTGACCAGCAGAACTCACTAAGTGCCTGTGTGGCACCTTTTGTGCCTTGCCCAGGGCCTGATATGGTCACCTGGCTGACCACAGTGGCCCAGCAGCCTGGTCTCATGTCCTCCCTTCCCGGGGTTTGGTACTATGTGCGGTTTGCAACACAGAGTCCTGTTGGCATCCTGCCCTTGGGACCCCTCTCATCCCCAAGCCTGGTCAGCTCCCTGCACGGTGAGAGGTGCCCACATCCAGCTGTCAGCGGCACTAACGGAACCATCTAACTGCACCTTCGCCTCTCCTTTCCACCTCGCTCCCCAGACCTGCTTTACACTAGACACGTGCAAATATGTTTTAAACACACCAAAATAGCTGTGCCAAATGAGTGGCCTGTCGGAGGCTGAAGAGGAAAGAAGAGTTGGGCCTCTCGCCATCCACCTTTTGCTGTACCCCACAACCCCACAGACCGGCACCGGGGCCTGCCGCCAAGGCCACAGGGCTGCTGGCCGTCCGCAAGCACTTTCGTATGGCGCGCGCAAAGCAGTCCCAGCGTGTGGCAGTGAGGAGGACCATGGAGTTAGGGTGTGCTTGAGCATGGCTAATGCATCGGGGTGCTGAGGGGAAAGGAAAGGGACAGTAATTGTATGCAACGAAGTGGTTTCTCTCATTGTAATTCAATGCGGTTTTATGATTTGGTGCATATATTCCTATTTTCCATTAAATTAACTTTATTTCCAAAGCATATTTTGATTTACTATCAAGAGCAATAAAGCATTAAATCTTATTTTTAAAGGTGTTCTGCTTATCTGTCATTGGAAATTATAATTGTGAAACTGTAGCTTAAAGCCAGCTGTCTATCCCAGAGGATAGAAAGGAGAATTAAGCACAAGTAATGTAAAATGGAGGATAATTGCCTGAGGCTTTTGAACAAAAATATTAAACAGTGAGTAAGAATAATACTGTGGGAAGGAGACAGGGAGAGAAGGCAGTGGAGTTACATCCAAACACTTCTGCCATGTTGAAGCCTGCACCCTATGTCGAACCCCACTGCTTGGCACCAGAGAACACGACCTTCGCATCAATAAGTGCACGAGGAAGGGCGGCTCAGGTTCCTCTGGCAGCAGTGAAGAGGCCAGAACAGCCTCTGTGCAGGGTGGCTGTTTGGGATGGGGAAGTGGAAGGAGAGGAGAGACCGAGAAAGCAAGAACCACTTCTCAGGTAGGAGTGGGAGCTGCAGGCAAATGAGGAGGCCCAGCAGTGGCCGTGGGGTAAGCCCAGCACCCCAGGACTCTGCGGCCTCTGGCGCGAAGACATGCAGGGGTGGCTCAGTCCACAGAGCTGCCTTGAGAAAGCCAATAGCCCCAACCCAGGCTGACAGCTCCTGACCCCTGGGTACAGGGCCTGGGGAGGGCCAGTTCCCGCTCCCCTCTCTCTTAGGTTGAGGCTGATCTGCAAATGGACTTCTGGAACTGACGGGACTGAGTCAACCTTACCGTAAGTACAAGCTGGGGTGGCTGCTTCTCTGGAAGCCCCAGGGTGAGTTCCTTCTCAGATACCTGCACAGAGCTAAACTGGCAGGGTTGGCCCACATAGTCACCATCCACCCCTGCTGGCCCAGAAGTCTCTGCCCAGTGAGTGCTGAGCAGGGCCAGGGCCCCGGAATTATGGAAGCAACAGCCTTAGTTGCAAGCTTTGGGTCTAAGGTCAGGACACACTTGGCCAAGCCATGTGACCCTCTTTGGCTTGAGGTGCCAGTCATCTACCTCTACAAGAAAGCCTTTGGGGAATGCCTGTCCCTGCCACCAAACCAAAGCCTACTTAACCTGTGCTGCTTTCTTAATCACCTTAGTGTATTCAGCTCTTTCCCCCAGCTCCCCCCCCCATAACACAAATCCAATTTTGTTCTAAGTGCATGAATCATGTATTAACATTGCCCCCATCCTGTTCACAAATGATGGGCCCCCAAAAAGAGACCCAGGTAATGGATGGTCAGTGCATTTTATTGAATCAGCACAGTACAAAAATAAATAAAAATAAGGGAAGGGCAATTAAATTACAGCCAAACTGAGCTTTGTGACCTTGTCAGATTATAAACCACACATACTCATGAGCAAACACACTATACATACATACAAAATGAGACAAATATAAATTAACAATACCCACAGTTTGGTCAAAGAATAGCTACAGAATAAATTGCACTAAAAAACCAACATATATCACAAGTGTGTAATTAGCAGTTTCAAATATACAGCTATGAATAATCCCGAGAAAAAAAGAATGGCACATTTTCTTTTCATTGCAGGTTTAACAACTGTTGGAACAAAACTAAATTCTAGTAACTGCCTGGAAAGAATATATCAACCCTTCAGGTTTACAAGAAAAAGAGAAAAATCAAATCCTGAACTATTATTCCTGTGGCTTGTTCTGTGTATGGGTATAATTTTCACAGCCATCTGTTCTAAGGTTATTTTTCTTAAGACACAAAATGCTCCTGGTTTGCATGCACAATATCACTGTAAAAGCAACAATTAAAGAATAAAGGTTTTTTTTTTTGTAGGTTAGTTTTTTCTTTTGTTCTAATAGTCTTCATAGCAGCATGTCAAATGGGTTCATTGCTTGCACACTCAGTCTGCACACTCAAGTATATCAGCTGTTCCTTTACACAATACTGATGACCAGTGCAAGGGGAGTGAGGAGAACACACAGGCTTCACATTGATGGAATTAGACTGTTTCTGGTCCTTAATCAATCCTGAAATGTGCGCCTCCTCCAAAACATAAAAAAATAATAATAAATACAGAGAGAGAGAAGGAAACAGACACAAAACTGGAATCCTATGGCATCGGCACAGTTCCAGGCAGGTTGAGCCAGCTGAATGGACCAGACCACAAGCATGTGCCCTCCTCTGGAGTCTGGGCACACAAAGGGCCTCTTCCACACCGAGAGGGACCCCCACAGGCCTCCCACTTCAGATCACACACGGCAGCAGGATCTGAGGACAAGCTGCATGGGATCCAGCAGAAGAGAGGCAGAGGTGAAGTCTGTGCCAGCAGCCGCAGGTGCCTTCCAGCCCCGCATCTGGTGATCTGACGATCCCGGCACGGCTCAGCCTGGCTCTCCGGCCCCAGCCGGCCCCTTCCCCAGTCTCCAGGAACACCTTGGGCTAAAAGCTCTGCTCCAGGCCTCTTAAATCAGGACCTCAATTTCACAGCTTTTTCTTTTTTTTAATGTGAATTTCAGTAGGTGCTTGTGCAGAAGTCAGCTGCCCCCTAGAACCTAATCCTATGAAAAAAAATGACTCCTGCCTCCCAGACCCTAGCCCCAATTCCAGTGCTCCTTGGGACTCTGTATCCTCTGTAGCATCTTCACATTGCTCTTTGTTCCCCAAAGCCGGAAAGGGAGCCATGCAGGAAGACTTGTTCCCTTCTTTTAGACCTCTCCCAAGCCCCAAGCCACCAGTCTGGGAGAATTAGAAAGAAAATCGGTAAAATATACATCATGTGTTTTTACAGCTGCTAAAGTAAGGTGGATACCAAAATCAGCAGCTGCAAGTGATCGGTTGTAGGATCGCCAAGCCTCCAAAGCAATCAGGAGTCACCCTCCTGTCTTTGTCTCCAAGATCCAGCTGTCTCACTGAGCCTTGCAAACAGGGCTTCCTCTCCAGAAGAAACTGAACTGTTTGGAAACAGTGTTAATCCTATGAAACAAGGGGTAGGAGTAGGAATCACCATTACCACATCACCCCTATAAGCTGATCTCCCCTTCCCCCCAGCTTGGTAGGGCAAATGTCATGTGCACCAGCAAGAGGCCTCAGCACTTAGGTAGGCACCAGCTTGATCTCAGGCATGGACCTCCCACCTGCCCAGAGACAGGCTGCTGCTAATGGGCATCTGCTGCTGTCCTGGCCTTCACCTCAGGGTGACTAAGCTGCATTATTCAAATGAAAAAGAAATCACCCAGGAAAGGAGCTGTCCCCAGCTTCACCCCACTCGTTTAGCTGGGACCCAAAATGAGAGACCCTAATGAGACAAACCAGCCCACAGTAAAGTGGGAGCTGGGAGTAGTGTCAAGAGGCAGGGGTGAGCTCCCTTTCTCATTAGGAAAGCCCTCCCTAAAGAAAACAAAACAGCAAACCAGGGCCATGCATGGTCCAGTGACCATCACAATCTTGACACAAGACCCACCTCACCCCTCGACTGAAGATGTCCCGGGCAGTAGGGATCTTGCTTCACAACCCCTTTCGAGGCTTTGTCAGGGTGGCCGGCTCCAGGAGCCCCACAGAGAAAGACCCACCCAAAACCACCCAGAAAAGGGCCTCCAACCAGAAATCACACTTCCTCCCTGGGCCCACCTGCCAGTGGCCCCTCACCAGCTCCCAGCTGGGCAGCAGTGGGGAGCCTCACCCCCTGGATCCAGTGAGGGCAGGGGCAGCAGGAGCCAGCCCACACACGGAGAGGTCAGCAGCCTGGGTGGCTCTGAATCATCTTCTGGGTTTGTACATCACTCATGGTTCAGAAGTCCCCAGAGTTCTCGAAGGGCTGAAAAGAACCCCAAGGAAAGAACATGGGAAAGGAGAGGCCCTTGGTGGCTTTGCTAGACACATATTGTACACAAAACTCTGACTTGATAATAAATTTTTAAAAATGAATTGAACCCTTTAGCATGATGCGACTCCAGGGCTCACCGATCAAGCCCAAGGAGCAGCCGCTTCTTGTCCTCCTGGCCGCTCTCGTTCTTCAGATCGGAGAACACCTGTGTGAAGTAGTGTGGGTCAGCATTGATCTGCAGCATCTTAGAGCTCATGAGGTTGATGACAGAGAGGCAACGGTCCCAAAAGGCCTCCTTGCAGCTCTCCACCAGGAAGGGCTTGAGCGGGTAGGAGATCTCGTTGCCCATGTAGGAGTAGGAGAGGTACAGGCAGGTCAGCAGGACGGCCTGAAGCTCGTGGTCCGAGCCCACCTCGGAGGAGATAACATCCCTGCAAAGCATGTAGAGGAAGACCACGTTGGCCGGCGTGATGAAGCCCTGATCCTGCCAGCCCTGCAGAAGCAGCGAGCGGTCCACGCTGCGCAGCCAGAGCACGGGGTCCGTGGGGGACAGGTGCTTCAGGCGGTAGCACCGGCGGCAGAGAAACTCGCCCAGGCAGCGCAGCAGCTCGCTGGTGGACGCCTGGACGATGACCCGTTTGGGTGTCCCCGCGGAAGTGACAGCAGGGTGTGGGGCCTTCTTGACCGAGGAGGAGACCCCGGTCTGGGAGCCAGAGAGCTGGCTGGCCGGGGGTGCGGGCGGCTGGGCCGGTGGGGGCTGGGCGAAGGTGGACAGGTTGGCGCACGACAGCGACTTCTTCAGGTTCTCATTGTTGAGGTGCGTGATGTTGTTCTGGTAGCTGCTGTTGGGCTGCACCTTCTTAGAGTTCTTCTTCTTGGCCGACACCGCCACGATCCTCTTCCAGGGCAGCACGGAGATGATGGAGTGCCGCTTCAGGTTCTTGTCCTTGGCGTTCTTGCTGTTCTGCACGGCCGTGTAGTGGCCCACCGTGGCCGCGCCATCCTCAAATAGCGTGGCCTTCCGGTAGCTGGGGGACAGGGACAGCACCGTGCCCATGGTGCCGCTGCGCGCCCGGCGCGGGCCCGCACCCCTGCGCGCCCAGCCTGACGGCCGGAGGGGAAAAGCGGCTCTCCGAGCCTGCGGCGGCCCCGGGAGGAGGAGGGGCGCTCCTGGGACGCGTGCTGCCCCTCCGGATCTGCGTGGAAAACAAGATGGTTCTCAGCGCCGGGCGGGGCTCCGTG